TTCGCTCCACATCATATCCAGTTCGTAATTGCCTTATTGCCGTTTCACTTAGTCCAATTTGAATTAAATATGATTCTGTTTGACTAATGACGTTCAGGAAGTGCTTCAATATTCGTACAATTTTTTTCGGACTTCTCGGAAGTACATTTATTGTGATATTTAATTTTTGCCTTATAGATCTTGTTATTATTATACGATTGACCGCAAGATTCAGCATGCTGGCGTCGTAATTGTGTCTCACGGCTAAGTGGTTCCTCTGATCCCAAGGTGGTATTGGGTACTTTTCTACTGCGTTCGACAGTAATTGGATTTTCGACCAACATAGGTGTGCTAAACGTAGCGTTCCTTTTCTTCACGATAAGTTTTTTTTATAACGCTTCAGTTCCTCTGACATATCGCGCTCGATTGTGGCCAGTTTAATATGTTGAAACCAATAATTTTCTAAACTAAATATATCTATTTGATATACAAAAACAAATTATTTGCGCAGAGTTTAAAAAAGTATTAATAATGTACCATTAATACATAAGAGAACCCAAAAACAAAAACCATACATGCCTATTTGCAGGGATTGTGCCGTTAGTGTTTACTTCTTTTCTAGTTTTTTACAAAAAAATTTAAAAAAAAATGCAAAAACAAATATATATTGCAAAATAATTTATTGATGAAGCCAGAATTTTACACTATAAATTTATATAATTTTTAATATATTTCCCGTATTTCTTAATACAATTATTTTTTCATTTAAATTTTTATACCAAACAAAATTAAGTGGCATACATATAAATATATTCTTTTTATTAATTATAAATTTTGTTAAAAATATTATATAAATTATAAATTTGTACTATACATTATTGTATAGATATGATTTTATATTGTTATAGTCTTTAGATTGTTTAAACTAAGTTAAGTATTATGAAATAAATAAATACTATATTCGATTTTAAATGAATCGAATTAAACAAATTTAATAAATATTATAAATAATTTCAAGCACTTATCCCAGAAGTAGAATATAGCTAAAAAACCACATATATTATGAATGTGATGATATCCTTAATCCATCAACAAAAAATCAAAAATAAATTGAAGCTTAATTATAGATATGTTACTTTGTTACTTGCAAAACCTGTGAGAACTCATGCAACAGATGAAGTCATATCCTTTACTCAAGAAGTGAGAAAGTATTTTTTGTATCTGATAAAATTGTTTTAGTAATTTAGATTATATGAAAAATGAAAAGACTTTATATGTTTGTTTTGTATTTATCAATTGTATTTTAAAATATATAAATATAATATATTAGATATAATATATATTATGTTAAATCACACTTTTCTTTTCGTAAAAATAATTTATAACTAATTAGATTATGCATTATTCAATCCAAACCATATCCAGCTCGTAATTGCCTTAGTGCCGTTTCACTTAGTCCATTACGCATTAAAAGTGATTCCGCTTGGCTAATGACGTTCCGGAGGTGTTCCAACATTTTCACGTTTTTTGAATATTTCTCCGAAATATATTTATGGCGATATTTAATCTTTGCCTTATTAATTTTATTATTAATGCGCGATCGCCGGCAAGATTCAGCACGCTGGCGTCGCAACTGTTCCTCACGACATAGTGGTTCTTCTGAACCTGAGGTGCTGCTGGTTGTTGGTCCACGACGTTCAACAATAATTGGATGTTCGACCAACATTTGTTGAACGTAACGATCCTCTTCTTCCTGATACGTTTTCTTATAGCGCTTCAGTTCCTCTGACATATCGCGCTCGATGGTGGCCAATTTAATTTGTTGCACTGATGGCGAAAAGTTTTGCACAACATGTGCATATGCATTTTGAAAATATACCATCGGTGCAGAATTTGTGTTGTCCATTATTATTTTATATTTTTATATATGTAATTTACAAATCTAGAGTTATTTGTTATATGTGCCTTCGTGCAGATTGCTTCGTGTACTGATGCTTTATTTCAATATTGTGCCTCTTTTATACTGTATTTTGGCTTGAGTCCAGTCTGTTATTCTGCAACTATTTTGTTATTGTTTGTGAAATTCTGATAATCAATTCAATGACAAATGCTGATATAATTACTTTTGTTCTTTGATATAATACAGCATTATCACATTACAATAACATAATGCATAATACAACCACTCAAACCAATTTGCATGCAATATTTTTTTATTTTATTTTATGACCTTATTTTTAGCTTTTGCATTTATGAATTCATTGTATATATTTCGTGCCTGGTTATACTTGCCAGGATCAGGTAGCTATGAAGTGTGTTCATTTTTTATAATATGACGTCAAAAATAATTCTTTGTCAATTGTTTAAACCTATGAAGACTCTTTCTAAATGTACCTGCAAAGGAATTATTTACAAAATGAAAAAAATTTGAAAAACTAAGGCGTTACTCTATAGTGCAAATAAACAAATTGTTTTCAACTCCGCTTATTTTTATAAAAACGTTCTTTTGTTGCAAATTGAAATTATTTTTTACTGATTTTGCATTTATCTGAAAGTAAACAAAATCATCCTCTACTACTAGTAATCATCCGCGTTACAAGTAACTTTGAAAACCATAGAACAACTTGCAATTTACTTAAATTACAAGTACAACAACAATTTAAGTAAAAACGTGCTGTAATTAATCAAAAATGTATCTATAATCAGCGTGTAAACTATAATAAACACTTCAAAACACTTGATGTATTTTCTAGAGAAACTGTATTTGTATTGCTACAAGTATTTATTCACTAGCTATCAGAATTAATTGTATGAAACCTAGGATCTTTTACGCATCTGTGTAGAGAACGGACGAGATTGATCAACAAAAAATAATATGAATATAATTTATTTAATATATCATTATATATATTCATATATATATAACTGAAAAAAACTTAGTCTCTTAATTGACAATATTTCATACTAAGAAATTAGTTTCTGTAAAAGTATTAACAATATTTCATACTAAGCAATTAGTTTCTGGAAAAGTATTAAAAAACTCATATCATAATAATTTGAGTGCAGAGTATTGTAGCTTCGGTTAAGCTAAAGATAAATTTATCTTATTTTACTTTAAATAAGTGTCAGCTGATGTAAGGATAATTTTAAAAAGCTGTTTTGTAAAATATATAAAAAAGGGGTTTATTTCCTTGAACAAAAAAAAAAAACAAAGCGGAATACTTAATCATTCTGCCATCTTGACTTCTTCATGAAATGATTTTAAAAACTTTGCTATTTTATATAGAAAAGGATTACATAAATAATTATATATATAAAATTCATATAAACAGTTTTTTATTTTAAAAGTTTACAATATAGCCTTTAAATAATAAATAAAAGTATATAGAAGTATAATTAGGTTTCTCAAAGCACTGTTTTAGAACTACGGAATAAGGTTAAGATTGTTAAGCAGTGGCATTTATGGTTATAATAATGATATTAGCTGCTGTTTTCTAGAATTGACAAAAAAATTTTAACAAAAGACTTTTATTTAGCATTTGAAATTATTTATTCTGCAACTTTTCTTTTAACTTTAAAGTTTAAACAGAAATGCAACCCTGCGAAGAGCAGTAGCAAAGCTTTAGCTCTTGTCAGTTTGGCTGATCTTTCAAAGCCGTTATTAATGTGATTGCATTGAGAATTTTCAAATGAAAGCAAAGCTCATTAGTCAGCTATGCGATGCGTTCAAGTTTTATGGTTGTGTTTCTGTGGTGTTTTATTAATAATTATAAAAAAATAAATAATATGTATAAAGAAAATTATTTATTAGCAACAAATATGGAATGGTGTAGTGTTTTAATTATTAATTATTATTATTCTGCATTTTCTTATACGTGCGAGCATTTGGTGACGGCAAAATAATGTTGAAGGTAGGAAAAATAGAAAAACATTTAATATTTTTATTTTATTATTCTATTATGTTTAATAGTATATATATAAATAAAATAAATTATTTATTGTTTATGAACTAATAATTGTCTATATTCAATAATACTAATCGAAATACAAAAACAAATTATTTACGCAGAATATAAAAAAATATTAATGAAGTACCGCAAATACATAAGAAAAACAAAAAGTAAAAACCAAACTTGTCTATTTGTAAGGATTGTGCCGTTAATGTTTACTTGTTTACTTCTTTTTTCGTTTTTTACAAAAAAATTGTAAAAATAATGCAACAACAAGTATTTGTGGCCAAATAGTGCAATAAATATTGATGTTGCCAGAATTCTATACAAAAGTTATATATTATATATAAAGTTATATATTTTTTATATAAATAATAAATTTATGTTATACTCGTATATTCATATCTATATCTAAATCATAATATAATTTTAAACAAAATTAAGTGTTATTAATATACATATACATATAAATATTTTATATATGTGTTATAATACATATATATATATTTTTTTTTTATTAATTATAAATTAATTTAAAATTTTACATAAATTTAAATATTCAATTTATTTAAACTATTTAAACAAATTTAATAGATATTATAATTAAAGTCAAGCACTCACCATAGAAGTAGAATATAGTTAAAAAATCACATATGTATATTATGAATGTGAAGACAAAATTAATGTTCGTAATGAATATATCATCAACAAAAAAAGTAAAAATCAAAAATTAATTGAACCTTGATTACCTTGATCCATTACTAACGGAGTGAAAAATATTTTGTTTCTGATAAAACTGTTTTAGTAATTTATATTGCAGGAAAAATTGAAAGACTATGATTTTGCTTTGTGTTTATTAATTATGTTTCAAAATATATAAAATTAGATATAATATATATTATATTAAATCACAATTGCGTTTTGGTAAAAATAATTTTATATTAATTACATTAAGCATTAGTAGCTGCTTTTCCATTGTTCGTCTAAATTCGCTCCACATCATATCCAGTTCGTAATTGCCTTATTGCCGTTTCACTTAGTCCAATTTGAATTAAATATGATTCTGTTTGACTAATGACGTTCAGGAAGTGCTTCAATATTCGTACAATTTTTTTCGGACTTCTCGGAAGTACATTTATTGTGATATTTAATTTTTGCCTTATAGATCTTGTTATTATTATACGATTGACCGCAAGATTCAGCATGCTGGCGTCGTAATTGTTTCTCACGGCTAAGTGGTTCCTCTGATCCCAAGGTGGTATTGTGTACTTTTCTACTGCGTTCGACAGTAATTGGATTTTCGACCAACATAGGTGTGCTAAACGTAGCGTTCCTTTTCTTCACGATAAGTTTTTTTTATAACGCTTCAGTTCCTCTGACATATCGCGCTCGATTGTGGCCAGTTTAATATGTTGAAACCAATAATTTTCTAAACTAAATATATCTATTTGATATACAAAAACAAATTATTTGCGCAGAGTTTAAAAAAGTATTAATAATGTACCATTAATACATAAGAGAACCCAAAAACAAAAACCATACATGCCTATTTGCAGGGATTGTGCCGTTAGTGTTTACTTCTTTTCTAGTTTTTTACAAAAAAATTTAAAAAAAATGCAAAAACAAATATATATTGCAAAATAATTTATTGATGAAGCCAGAATTTTACACTATAAATTTATATAATTTTTAATATATTTCCCGTATTTCTTAATACAATTATTTTTTCATTTAAATTTTTATACCAAACAAAATTAAGTGGCATACATATAAATATATTCTTTTTTATTAATTATAAATTTTGTTAAAAATATTATATAAATTATAAATTTGTACTATACATTATTGTATAGATATGATTTTATATTGTTATAGTCTTTAGATTGTTTAAACTAAGTTAAGTATTATGAAATAAATAAATACTATATTCGATTTTAAATGAATCGAATTAAACTAATTTAATAAATATTATAAATAATTTCAAGCACTTATCCCAGAAGTAGAATATAGCTAAAAAACCACATATATTATGAATGTGATGATATCCTTAATCCATCAACAAAAAATCAAAAATTAATTGAAGCTTGATTATAGATATGTTACTTTATTACTTGTAAAACCTGTGAGAACTCATGCAACAGATGAAGTCATATCCTTTACTCAAGAAGTGAGAAAGTATTTTTTGTATCTGATAAAATTGTTTTAGTAATTTAGATTATATGAAAAATGAAAAGACTTTATATGTTTGTTTTGTATTTATCAATTGTATTTTAAAATATTAAATCACACTTTTCTTTTCGTACAAATAATTTATAACTAATTAGATTATGGATTATTCAATCCAAACCATATCCAGCTCGTAATTGCCTTAGTGCCGTTTCACTTAGTCCATTACGAATTAAATGTGATTCCGCTTGGCTAATGACGTTCCGGAGGTGTTCCAACATTTGCACGTTTTTTGAATATTTCTCCGAAATATATTTATGGCGATATTTAATCTTTGCCTTATTAATTTTATTATTAATGCGCGATCGCCGGCAAGATTCAGCACGCTGGCATCGCAACTGTTCCTCACGACTAAGTGGTTCTTCTGAACCTGAGGTGGTGTTGGTGGTTAGTCCACGACGTTCGACAATAACTGGATTTTCGACCAATATCTGCTGAACGTAACGTTCCTCTTCTTTCTGATACGTTTGCTTATAGAGCCTCAGTTCCTCTGACATATCGCGCTCGATGGTGGCCAGTTTGATTTGTTACACTGCTGGCGAAAAGTTTTGCACAACATGTGCATATGCATTTTGAAAATATACCATCGGTGGAGGAATTGTGTGATCCATTGTTATTTTTATAATTTTATCTGTAGAATTTATAAATTTAATTAATTTTCTCTATATGCTTCTGTCAGAATTGCTTCGTCTACTGCTGCTTTATTTTAATTTTGGTTTTGTGTTGTATATTTGCTTAGCTCCGGCCTATTATTTTGCAACTATTTTGTTTATTAATGTTGATTTTTTCTTGCCAAGAATGACGTATCTTTATGAAGAAAAGAAACTATTTAAGAATTAGACGGATTCGAATAACAGAGACAAGGCAAGGACAAGAATTTTATTTAATTTATTGAAAGTTGGCTGACCATACAACTCTATTGTTTTCACCGACGTAGTGCAGTGAAGTATTTTTGAAAAATATACAACTCTGGGTTTTTTTTCCTTTCGACGTAAGACTCGAGGCATTAGACTAGAAGGTACTTGGTGTATAACATATTAAGTGTAATTAAGTTAAATAAAAGCGAAGACTAAGTAATTTTAATATTTATCAATATTAATCAATTTTTTTTTAAAAGTAAACCCAAAAATATTGTTTTTTTTAAATAGAAATAAAACGTGGAAAATTTGAAAATCTATTAATTATTGTATATATAAATAACTCAAAACTATAACATTAACCCTTGCATGAAAATTGAAGAAAAAGTTTAAATATTCTTTGTTTTGTATACAAAGAAAATCTGAATAAAAATTTAGTAACTTATAATATAATAACTTAAATTGGCTATTTGTGTTATTAAGTTTAATAAGTTACTTACAAAAACTTTAATTTTTAATATTAATCCTTACATAAGGACTTTTCTTATAAAGAAAACTTTAAATTTGAAAATTAATTAATTATTGTGTATATATAATGGGATCATCTGAATATCAGGTGAGTTTATTAGAGTTGGATGGAGTGATCCACGATATTGTTCTGGGGATGGACTGTTTGGTAACAGCATCAAGCAGGTTCTGTATAGGGAATAATGTTAACAAATTTAGTCAAACTTCAAAGGCCACATTGAATCAGGTTTCGCCAAAATCCACTTTCGGGGAGGAACAATATATAAAGAGGTTCCTAGACACAGAACAGAAACGATGAAAGGACTCTCTTGATAACGTCACAGCAGGACCCTAGGTAATCAAAAAGGCAATCACTTTTTTTTTTCAAAAAATAAAAAACTATTTATTTAATTAATAGAAATTTCATAAAACTTAATAATTTAAATAAAAATTATTATTAATAATATTATTTATTTTGTCTAATTTACAGTAGAAATATCAATATAAATTTTAATATTAGGTACATATGAGTATTACATATATCGTAAATTTAATTTATTTCACAATTGTTCTCTGTATCCAGTCAATGTAATTTCCAACTCTTGTATATACTCCTGGCCAACCAGCTAAACCACATGGTGTAGGTCCAAACGAGACAACACCAGCCAAAAAATAATAACTGCGCGCTTTATTTGTAACATCCAAGCTGACAAGTGGACCGCCCGAATCGCCTCGACACGAATCTATCCCTTCTTGACCACCTGCACACATTTGGCTATCTTCTAACAAAAAGCCTTGCTTACTGTAAACATATCTACATTTATTTAACTGTATGCCATTAACAGTTGCTTTTAGTTTTAAAGTACTTGTCGAATCAGTTTCGGTTTTACCCCAACCAGAAACATCCATTGCAATGCCATCAAAAGTAGCTGAACGTAAATTAGTATTAGTAGGCAGGCAAATAGGACGCACAAACGCTGAATATGTAATATCACGACTCAAACGTAACAAAGCTATATCATTTGCTTGATTTTTTGAACTAGGATTATATTGTGGATGTGGAATAGTCTGCTCAACTGTAACGTCAATGTGTTCAGGTGCGCAATCCTGCTTACCGCGTACATCTACTTCGCAATCTGGATTTGATGTTGTATCCCATTCCCCAAGACGTACACCAGTAAGTTTCCAATCAATCGGAATACCTTCACCATTAACACAATGCGATGCTGTAATAACATATCTTGAATTTATTAATGAACCACCACAATGATGTCCCTTTGTGCCGCCAGGTTTTGTATATTCTATTAAAGCCATCCAAGGAAATTCATCAATTTTTGTTACATTGCCTCCATACACACGATTTGATAAAACATCGCCACATTGGCCTGGGTTTGGTAATAGTTGGTAATTGCCACCCGAAGGAATACTAGCTGTTGTTTGTGCAACTTGTACAACATTTTGGTACCGATCAGGACAGCATATTAAAACCTTGCCATTTTGATAGCCACACTGACTGCTACTCAAATAACGTCTATTTGCATCGCTCAATGGTGAAGTAATTAATATATTGAAAAGATACTTACAATCCTCCAAAATGATGCAAAGTGCGCGTTCACGATTTGGTGTTATACATCGACCAAAATTCGGCATTGACGCAGCTTCATTAGGAAAATAAAATTGTGCTGCAGACCTTTCGATTAAAATTCCTCCAAAGAAGCAAGAGAAGAAGATGATATTTATTAAAACTGGTTTTTTCATGTTTAATCGTTATTCTTTTATTTTTTATTTATTTATTAATATTTTTTTGTTTAAGAGATAGTAAAAAAAAATTGTTGGTATTAATTTATTTATATAAATATTATTATAACTTTGAAATTTGCACGACACTATATATTTTACACTATATAAATATTTATTAATTTTAAACACGGATACGATATATTTTTATGGAACCTTAAACGATGAGTTGTAGTTAAGCGTCAGATGTCAACTGGATCCTCGAAACAGCGTTGTATGGTCAGCAGAATTTCAATAAATTAAATAAAACTTTTGTCCTTGTCTTGTCTCTGCTATTTTGTTTATTGTTTGAGGAATTCTGATAATCAATTCAATGACAAATGGTGGCATAATTACTTTTCTGTTCTTTGATATAATACGGGTTTATCACATTACAATAACATAATGCATAATACAACCACTCAAACCAATTTGCATGCAATATTTTTTTATTTTATTTTATGACCTTATTTTTAGCTTTTGCATTTATGAATTCATTGTATATATTTCGTGCCTGGTTATACTTGCCAGGATCAGGTAGCTATGAAGTGTGTTCATTTTTTATAATATGACGTCAAAAATAATTCTTTGTCAATTGTTTAAACCTATGAAGACTCTTTCTAAATGTACCTGCAAAGGAATTATTTACAAAATGAAAAAAATTTGAAAAACTAAGGCGTTACTCTATAGTGCAAATAAACAAATTGTTTTCAACTCCGCTTATCTTTATAAAAACGTTCTTTTGTTGCAAATTGAAATTATTTTTTACTGATTTTGCATTTATCTGAAAGTAAACAAAATCATCCTCTACTACTAATAATCATCCACGCTACAAGTAACTTTGAAAACCATAGAACTCTTGTACTTGCAACAACAATTTAAGTAAAAACGTGCTGTAAATAATCAAAAATGTATCTATAATCAGCGCGTAAACTATGTCAAAATAGATTTTCAATCATCTTTGTATTTGCAGTTATTTTTGATATTTTTTCAATGGAACATATTGCATATATTGTACTTATTCGTATATATAGCAGGGTTGTCATTAATAGATGCTATTGACATCCGGAATATACAAACAAATTTAATTAACAATTAATTATTATGAAAATAATTTAAGTGATCTTTTTTTTTATTAATAAAATTTATGCTACATTATTCTGATTTTGTTTTTTTATTTGTGCGCAAGATATTTTTGCATATCCTATATAGTTGTTGAGTGATTATCTATCTATTTAATATGGCATTTACACTGGCCTCAAATGATTGATTTTGGCCAAAAGTCAAATATATTAACTTAATTAATAATTTTTTTCTTTGTATTGCTTGCTCTTTGTAATTAATTTCACTGAAGTATAAAATATATTCTTCTGAAGGAGCTATCGGGTACATTTCAAAACACATAACGTGAATTCTAAGGAGACTGTATTTGTATTGCTACAAGTATTTATTCACTAGCTACCAAAACTAATTGTATAAAACCCAGGGTCTTTTTCGCAACTGTGCAGAGCACGCACAAGATTGATCAACAAAAAGTAAAATGAATATTATTTATTTAATATATTATTATATATATTCAAATATATATAACTGAAAAAAACGTGATCTCTTAATTGACAGCAACATTTCATATTAAGAAAATAGAAAATGAATCATACTCCAAACTTCGAAGATGTAGAAATCCTTTATCGAGAGAAAAATGATAAACGTAGGATGCTGCTAGAAATGCTGCATATAATTGACGTACCAGATGGTGAACAATTAAACCATAAGAGGGATACGGAAGGCTTAGCACATATTTATAGATCTTTAATTAAAGAAATTAAAAATTAATTGCTAAGTTTATTATTTTTCTATTGTTTTTATGTAGTGTATTTACTATAAAAAATAAGGAAAAAATTCTTTTTGAAAAAATTTATTCTTCCTGTAAACTTAATTTCCCATTTTCGTTAAAATTTTATAAAAAGTTTTTTGTCTTATTATCTATGTGACTTTTGACATTTTAATTTCCTTTTTTTATAATTGTATTTGTATTAATTGTAACAATGAAGATGGTCTACAAAGTAGACCGAAATATTTGTTAATTAATAAAATATATTACATCAAGTAATAAATGTGATATTTTATTTAATTTAAAATTTGTGTTTTTATACAATAAAAATTATTATATAAAAACAAAATTTAAAACCACGACCTAAAGCCCGGCTAAATTTAAAACATAAATAATAATATATATAAAATTCATATAAACAGATTTTTATTTTAAAAGTTTACAATATAGCCTTCACATAATAAATAAAAGTATATAGAAGTATAATTAGGTTTCTCAAAGCACTGTTTTAGAACTACGGAATAAGGTTAAGATTGTTAAGCAGTGGCATTTATGGTTATAATAATGATATTAGTATAATAATAATGATTAGCCTTAATTCATTTTTTTGCTGCTGTTTTCTAGAATTGACAAAAAAATTTTAACAAAAGACTTTTATTTAGCATTTGAAATTATTTATTCTGCAACTTTTCTTTTAACTTTAAAGTTTAAACAGAAATGCAACCCTGCGAAGAGCAGTAGCAAAGCTTTAGCTCTTGTCAGTTTGGCTGATCTTTCAAAGCCGTTATTAATGTGATTGCATTGAGAATTTTCAAATGAAAGCAAAGCTCATTAGTCAGCTATGCGATGCGTTCAAGTTTTATGGTTGTGTTTCTGTGGTGTTTTATTAATAATTATAAAAAAATAAATAATATGTATAAAGAAAATTATTTATTAGCAACAAATATGGAATGGTGTAGTGTTTTAATTATTAATTATTATTATTCTGCATTTTCTTATACGTGCGTGCATTTGGTGACGGCAAAGTATAATAATGTTGAAGGTAGGAAAAATAGAAAAATATTTAGTATTTTTATATTATTATTCTATTATGTTTAATAGTATATATATAAATAAAATAAATTATTTATTGTTAATGAACTAATAATTGTCTATATTAAATAATACTAATCGAAATACAAAAACAAATTATTTACGCAGAATATAAAAAAATATTAATGAAGTACCGCAAATACATAAGAAAAACAAAAAGTAAAAACCAAACTTGTCTATTTGTAAGGATTGTGCCGTTAATGTTTACTTGTTTACTTCTTTTTTCGTTTTTTACAAAAAAATTGTAAAAATAATGCAACAACAAATATTTGTGGCCAAATAGTGCAATAAATATTGATGTTGCCAGAATTCTACACTAAAAAGTAATATATTTTTTATAAATATTAAATTTATGTTATACTCGTATTCATATCTATATCCAAATCCTTATATAATACTAAACCAGGAGTGTTGATTTGTTTGCTGAAATAAGTGATTATGATAATAATTTGTTTGACGTGAAGTGAAGAGTGTATTTTAATGCAGATTTTTAAAACTTTATTTAGAAAATAATTTCGTTTGTTTGAATTAAAAAGTAAATTAAAGGTAATCGATTAATCATTCAACTAACTTTCAATTCAATATAATAATGAAATCCCACATATATTATATATAATTTTTTATATTTTGAAACATAATTAATAAACACAAAGCAAAATCATAGTCTTTCAACTTTTCCTGCAATCTAAATTACTAAAACAGTTTTATCAGAAACAAAATATTTTTCACTCTGTTAGTAATGGATCAAGGTAATCAAAGTTCAATTATTTTTCGATTTTTTGTTGATCATATATCCATTGAGAACATTAATTTTGTCTTCACATTCATAATACACATATGTATGTAGTTTTTTAACTATATTATATTTCTATGGTGAGTGCTTGACTTTAATTATAATATCTATTAAATTTGTTTAATTAGTACAAATAAATTAAATATTTAAATTTATGTAAAATTTTAATTAAATTAATAATTAAGTAAAAAAATAAATATATACATAAACGTATATATTACATACATATGTAAAATATTTATATAATATGTGTACATATTATAATAATTTGTTACCGGGCTAATTGGTCAAATTTTAGTATAAATAAAAAGACACTAATTTATTATTTATATTTAAAAATCGTTTATACTTTATTTCCGATATTTCGACTATCTTCGATAGTCATCTTCAGGAAAAACTACACAAAATATAGGATGTTCACATTTTTATAGCGGATTATAAAGAAAAATCATACAATAAATACAATAATAATGATGACAATAAGAGAAAAAAAACAACAATAAAAATACAAAAGAAAAATTAAAATTATAAAAAAAAATTTATAAAAACAAAAAAAGCTTTACAAACATCCTGTGTCATTTGTTTATAATATTCCTATAAGCCTGAGCACAGTTGTCCGTATCAGTTTTATAATTAAGTCTTATATTATTGGGCACTTGAAGTATTGAGAGCATTTCTAGAAAGTACCTCTTATTATGGTTCCTTTCTTCATATAAAATTTTTGCCTTATCAAAATCAGGTTCATGTTTATGCTCCATACAATGCACAGCCAATGCTGTATTGGCTTCAGCACCACTTTTATTTTTTAAACTGTGTTTATGTCCAGCCATCCTTGTCCTAAGCTTATTTTTAGTCGTACCTATATATATTTTGTTACATACATTGTACCCGTCACCTTTACAATTCAGCTGGTACACTACATTAGATTTGTCTTTATTATTAATTTTAGTTTTAGTATTGCTATATAATTTAGCTATTGTGTTTGTTGCCTTCTGAGTAATTTTATAACGTTCCTTGTCATATATACTAGAATTCATTATTTGGTTTGACAATTTCGGAACATAATCAATGGATTTATATATTTTCTTGTCATTATTATTGTTAGGTTGGAGCTTTTTAAAGGTCTTATTAAGCATCATATTAATAATCCTTTCGGGAAAGTCATTCTTTATTAAAGTATCACGCACTATGTTCTTTTGTTTATTATGGAAAATTTTGTCACTCAGTACTAGAACTCTTCTAATAAAATTGGATGCTGTATTTAAAATCACGTGTTTAGGATGATTGGAATTGTAGTTAATTAATCTTCCTGACGCTGAAGACTTTTTATACCATTGAAAGTGAATTTGGTTATTATGTCTAATTAATTCAACATCTAAATAAGGAAGCCTGTTATTCTTTTCTTCTTCTATGGTGAATTTTAAATTTGTGTGAAAAGAATTCAAAATTTGAAGTATTTGAGTTATTTTATTTTTGCGTATTATCGTGAAGATATCATCTACATACTTCGTTAATAATCTTGGTTTATATTCCTGGTCATCCATACACTTTTCCAATAATTCTTCCATCACGATGTCTGCTATAATGGGTGATAACGGCGAGCCCATTGGCATGCCTCTACGTTGTTTATAAATTTTGTTGTCTAGCATGAAGTAATTATTTTCTTTAAGACAGAAATTTAAAATTTCGAAGAAAAGTGATTTAGTAATCTTAGTGAATGTCTTAATTATATTCCACTTCTTTTCCAAAATTTTAATGGCTAGTTCAACCGGTATATTCGGAAATAAGGATACTACATCAAAGGATACCATTATTTCATAATCGAATATATATGAATTACTGACCTTATTTTTGAAATCAATTGAGTCTTTAACATTATAAACCGAATGTATGGTCAGATTTTTTAAAATTGACGCTATATATCGACACAATTCGTATGATGGTGAGTTAACTGAAGAGCAAATAGGCCTAAGTGGCATATTTTCTTTATGTAATTTAGGTAACCCATATATTCTGGGTGGGTTGGCTGTATATGTACATAATTTTAGTTTTTCTGTTTTATTTATTATTTGATTATCAAAAAGTTTTGTGCCTATTGTATTATTTTTAGTTTGTAACGTTGAAGTTGGATCTCTTCTGAGTATTCGGTATGTCATAATATCATTTACTATATTTTTAATTTCTTTGTCATAATGTTCTTTTTTTATAGCAACTGTTTTGTTGCCTTTGTCAGATTTAAGTAGTAAAATGTTTTTATTCAGTTTTAAAAATTTTTTCGCTTGTTCCACTGTGCGCAATATGTATTTTTTCATAGGAGAATGTGTTATTTGTCTTTTATACCTTTCAACCATACCGATAAGTTGTGTTCTCGCTATTTCTTGGTCTTCTTTATTTTCTAAAGTATTAATGCAGTCTTCTCCATCTGTTAAATACTTAAGAAGTGGAAAGCTTTTTTTAGAAAGAGGTAGGGAGAAATTAGAACCGAGAGAGAGAAGCCACTGCACATCAGCTGGGAATTCTATATCAGTTTTGTTTATAAACCAGTCTTCTTTTATGTTTATGTCAAGCGATTTTATTAATTTAAGTTTTAATTTTTCAAATTTTTGATCCATTGAATTAGATTTTTTTGTTATTAATTTATTGTAAAGGATTTGTTCATTGTAAATAAAGTTCTTATAATCATTATGGCACACTAAATTTTGAATTATATTTTCTGTTACCGTGATATTTTTATTATTTTGTTTAAGAAGAATATGCTTCTGTGATATTATAAGATTAAGTAATTTTTTTTGGAATGTATTAATATGTTTATTCAGAGTGTGTACATATATTAATAACACTTAATTTGGTTTAGTAGCTGTGGCTCTATTTTCAACACGAGTTGTATCTAATGTAGACTCTGGAGCATCATGATTTGGTGTGCACAGATCAATTACATTTGGGACAAATACAACGTAATCATCTTCGTCAGTTAAGAAGTTTGCAGATGTGGGAGATATATCTGAAATATTAACTAATCCGTCATTCAGTTGATCGAAGGACAAATCTCTTCCTGAATTATGCTCGATATTTAACGGGACATTGGGGACGTCGAATATTTTGTCTTATTCCAATTGGTGATGCTAGACGCTGTTCCTGTCGACTAAGTGGTCGTAACTGTTCCTCTCGACTAAGTGGTTCTTCTTAACCTGAGGTGGTATTGGTTGTTGGTCCACGACGTTCGATAATAATTGGATTTTTGACCAACATCTGCTGAACGTAACGTTCCTCTTCTTTCGGGTCTCTTACTCTGCAACTATTTTGTTTATTTTTTGTGGAATTATAATAATTGACTAACATTATCTACTCCTAAAAATTTGAAGTTCATGTAACTGGATTAAGGAAAAATCTACCGACTTTATGTTTATTCTTGGTACTCATAATTTATATTTCAAAATATATAAAATTAATACGAGTATATTAGATATAATATATTTTATATTAAATCACACTTGTGTTTTAGTAAAAATAATTTATAATTAATTAGATTAAGCATTATATGCATATTATTAGCCATTGTCCGTCTAAATTCACTCCAAATCATATCCAGCTCGTAATTTCCTCAATGCCGTTTCACTTAGTTCATTACGAATTAAATGTGATTCCGCTTGGCTAATGACGTTCCGGAGGTGTTCCAACATTTGCACGTTTTTTGAATATTTCTCCGAAATATATTTATGGCGATTCTTAATCTTTGCTTTATTGATTTTATTATTAATGCGTGATCGCCGGCAAGATTCAGCATGCTGAGGTCGCAACTGTTCCTCACGACTAAGTGGTTCTTCTGAACCTGAGGTGGTGTTGGTGGTTAGTCCACGACGTTCGACAATAACTGGATTTTCGACCAATATCTGCTGAACGTAACGTTCCTCTTCTTTCTGATACGTTTGCTTATAGAGCCTCAGTTCCTCTGACATATC